AATAAGGTAAGAGGGATCTTTAAGGACACGATGCAAAAATTCACCACCTGTTCTTCCTCCTGTTGCTGTAAAAGATATGACAGGAGAGTACAAAGAACTGTTACAGCCTGTTCTGTTTGCAAGATGCACAATCACCACGACAGGTTTTTTCTCCATTGCTAAACCCACAAAACTCTGCACAACTACACTATTCTAACAGCTTGATTCTGCAAGATATCTCACATAGGCACATCCTAGCACCGCATAACCCTTGCTGGCATTCTGGTCCCCCTCCGCAAAGTATGCCAAATGTAGAATGCCATGCTCATATTCCCATAGGGCTAACCACATTGCACAATAAGCTAGCAAAGAGTCCTGAGGTATCTTAAAGACTAAGAAATGTAGCATATGCTTTTCAGGGAGCTGTGTGTGTGTGTGTGTGTGTGTGTGTGTGTGTGTGTGTGTGTGTGTGTTACTTGCCCTAAGACCAGGAGTACAGTTTACCGCTATGGATTGATTCCCTTGTTGACCAAGATGGGGCTACTCACTGCTAGCAGGTGTAAAGTAGATTTTGCCTCCACCCTACTGTTGGGAGTTTCCATTCCACCTTTAGTTGCAGACATGGGATTGTTAGGTGTCACATGTCTGTTTACATTGCAGCACAGTTTGCTGGAGTAAGCAGAACTTCCGCTGTATTGCTTTTGTTTTGACTCTCTCTCCGAGAAAACAGCAAGGAGAGACGACATGTTTCTTTGTCTTGATTTATGTTTAATAAATCCGTAGTTCTTAGTATGTATCCACAAGCCTCAGCCTCTTCTGTTGTGCAGCTTACACTGCTACGTATAGTGTGCTCAGGTCTGGGAGGCTTGAGTCACTGATTTATGTCAGAGCCAGAGGTCGATGGATCTTCACAGCGGCACGGCTGAGAAGGAGATGATCTAGCTGGGGGCTAGCCAGCTGGCCTTTAGACCCCCAGATGCCGACACCTACCCCATGGCAAACCTTTTCTCATATGACTGGTTTTTAACAGTTTATATCACCCCTTCTGACATATGTCTTATGTGTTCAGAAGAAGGCATAAAAGAATACATAAGATGAAAAAACCCATCCACAGGCATCTGTTTGAAAGCTTCTCTGTTGTTTTTATCTATATGCTGATAGTTCCATTCAAGTGGAATCCATCCCTTTTTGTACAAGCCCAGCTTGTCCCCAAATAGTCCCTAAAATGCCTAAGAAATCCAAAACCCCTCCTCCCTCCTCGTCCTGAGAACAAAACACATTACAGAGAATATGAGCTTGTTCTTTATTTTATAGCCTAAATCATATTTTTTTAAACTGTGTTTGGAACTCCATAATTCTACCAACAATCTCTCACCCCCCTTAAATACATGTGCAATTTGTCATAATAAGAATATTTTGCTTCCACGTCAAATCAGGTGTCATCCTGTCACCACACGTCTACAGTCATTATATACAGGTAATTTCATGAAGGTTGGGGTTTGACACTACAACAAGGCACAAGATCTCACTTAACTGTCCTCTGTAGATGTAATTAAGTGCCTCCAAATGTTTTGCTTAATTGCATTCCTTAATGTTCTGAGTAATGGTTTGCTCTTTTCCTTCGTTACGAATTGCATTCATAGCTTCCAGTAATCCCATTTATCATTGCAATTTGCTTAGCTTGAAATGTGCTCCGTTAATTAGTTCTTTTCAAGTCTTTTAAAAGAAATGTTGGAAGATCATTAATTCTAGATGGGCGATTTATTACTGCTTAAGAGAATTACATATTGGAGCCTGTTCTTTTCTAAACCCCTTTCAGTGTTGCCCTTTGTAAAAAATTTATCTCACATGATCACCTTTCTCGAGACTGCCCCAGAGAGTGTCACTCTAATTTTTAAAGCTGTGCTTCCATGCATTCTGTGACGAACCCCAACAAAAGAGCACTTGCAAGACATTGTCTTTGCAAACTGTTAGTCCAAAATGAGTTTGCAAAGCTGCATATATTAGCAAAATGAGCTCTTTCTGGAATGAATTGGTAAATAACACGATCATAATGGAATGCAGTACCAAGAAACACTGCAAGAAAAATAGTGGAAGATTTCTGCGATATTATTCATCTTGGTCTTGGGGAGAGTTAGATGATATGCAGTGAGATCCTAAATAGGTTTACTCAGAGGTAAATTATCTTGAGTTCAGTTAGATTTATTCCATAAGAGATGTGCTTAGAATTTTGGCCTCGGAAAGGCTAGATAGGCAAGTTAGCCAAGAGTTTAAAATGGTAAGGGGTTTCTGAAGGTGCTTGCCGTGCAAGCAAGGGGCAGCGTTTGCATTTGGAAGTGCATTTTTGCCTTGCTGTGTTTATTCTGAAAATGTTCTATATAATACATATTTTAAATTAATTAATACTTTTGTTTCACAGCCACAATTCTGAAAACCAATAGTTAAGTGAGTGCTGTAGCTAGTGCTTTTTTTCTGGGGGTACGCATAGCCCTAAACATTTTGTGTATCTTTGTACTTTTGTCCATTTACTGTATTTATTTTTCCCAATTTGAACTATAAAATGGGTCAAAATGAGATTACACCTAAACATTTTTTTTTGGGGGGGGGGGACACTGGTTGTAGCACTTTTTACAAAACAAACAAACAAAATCAACAGGTCAATCAGGAAAAAAGGGTTTTTAAAAAATAGCAGGCTGAATTAATTGTATCTACCCATTTTCTGCCCCCAAGGTATAGTTTGGGAAAACAATAGTGGGGTGTACTGTACATACAAATGGAAAAGGTGCAATGCCCACAGTAGTATGGAAGGTCTCTTGTGATTCCACTTCTAGCTTACAGTGACAGAACATTAACTAGATAGCACTAAGAGTCCCCTGTCTCATACCCTCCAACATTTCTCCTTTAAAGTTCTGACCTTTAAAGCCCTAAACAGCTTTGGTCCAGTATACCTGAAGGAGTGTCTCCACCCCCATCGTTCTGCCCGGACACTGAAGTCCAGCGCCAAGGGCCTTCTGGTGGTTCCCTCACCGCGAGAAGCCAAGCTACAGGGAACCAGGCAGAGGGCTTTCTCGGTCGTGGTGCCCGCCCTGTGGAATGCCCTCCCACCAGATGTCAAAGAGAAGAAGAAGAAGAAGAAGAAGAAGAAGAAGAAGAAGAAGAAGAAGAAGAGTTTGGATTTGATATCCCGCCTTTCACTCCCTTTAAGGAGTCTCAAAGCGGCTAACATTCTCCTTTCCCTTCCTCCCCCACAACAAACACTCTGTGAGGTGAGTGGGGCTGAGAGACTTCAGAGAAGTGTGACTGGCCCAAGGTCTCCCAGCAGCTGCATGTGGAGGAGCGGAGACGCAAACCTGGTTCCCCAGATTATGAGTCTACCGTTCTTAACCACTACACCACACTGGCTCTCAAAGAGAACAACAACTACCAGATTTTTAAAAGACATCTTAAGGCAGCCCTGTTTTGAGAAGCTTTTAATGTTTGATGTATTACGGTATTTTAATATTTTGTTGTAGGCTGCCCCGAGTGGCTGGGGGGGCCCAGCCAGATGGGCGGGGTATAAATTATTATTATTATTATTATTATTATTCTCCGATGAAAATCAGAACATCTTATTCCATAATACAGTGGTGCCTCGCAAGACGAAATTAATTCGTTCCGTGAGTTTTTTCGTCTTGCGGTTTTTTTCGTCTTGCAAAGCACGGTGTCGGAAAAGTTTTGGAAAAGCTTCAAAAATCACCAAAGTCTTCAAAAACCTCAAAAAAGGCTACCACACCGCGTGCTATGAGTTGCTCCTCGAAGTCAAGTCGCAACTGTATTAACGGTTTTAAGAAAAAGGAAACAAACTTGCAAGACGTTTCCATCTTGCGAAGCGAGCCCATAGGGAAAATTGTCTTGCGAAGCAACTTAAAAAACCAAAAACCCTTTCGTTTTGCGAGTTTTCCGTCTTGTGAGGCATTCGTCTTGCGAGGTACCACTGTAATAATTTAACTATTTATCACTTCCGGGGGCGGCGCGAACGGCAAATGGCGGTCCTCTTCTGAACGGGAGAGGAGGCTCCACAGACAACGGGTCGTCCGCTACGGCGAAGCGGAGACCCACATCGGAAAACCCCAGGCAGCAAGAGCTTGGGGTCCTGGGGCTCGGTGGGCGCTTGAGCGACCCTCCAAACGCGAAAGGAACCCCGTAAGGGGCCCGGAGCGTGGAGGGGGGTTGCGGCGCTGAGAGCTGCTTCACAGTCTGTGGAGCGAAGCCGCGCTGCTGTTGCCGGTGAGCGCTGATCCCTTTTCCTGTCAAAATACGGATTCGGATGAAAAGCAACTTATTCGTGAGTAAAGACTGAATTACTTGAAATTAGAGACTTTAAATGAAAAATCCTAATTGGTTTGAAGAGACGGAGAGACGTGGAAACAGGAAGTCCGTCTTCCGCAGCCATTGAACTTGAAAAAGCAACGAGCTGGAGGAGTGGAGGCTGAAAGAAAGAGATTTTAAACTTTACAGATCTAAGCATCTACTGAACTTGCAATTGAAGGTAAAGACTTTAAGTTAAAGATTTGGAATTATTACTTGCACTTGACTTTCCTCCTTTTATTGGATTACAAATTAGAAGGTGAAACCCAGAGTCAGGAGCTGCCTGAGCATTGAGAGATTGAGCTGTCAGTATTGCAGATTTGGATACTGTATATTGGAACTTGCAACAATCTGAGGGTATTGAGACCTTTTAATTTTGAAACATTTTTTTTGAGACAAATAAGCACTGTCTGTAACAAAGTGACCATTTATAAACTCTGCTAAATATTTGTATCTGAAGGTTCTTGGATATTAAATTAGACTCTGAAAGACATTTTAGGCTCCCCTAGAGGATTGGATTAAAACAGTGACTTTACATGTACATTTACTTTTGATTCCCTTGTTGTTTGCCGCTCTGGGCCTTTCCATTCCCATGGGAAAAACTCAGTGTGACCTTGACTGATAGATAACGTTGGAATGAGTGGCACAAGAAAAAGAGGGAGAGTTAGACAAACAACTTTAACAACTCTAACCTCAGCCTCGCAGACACGTAGATCATCTGTACCTACTTTGCCCTCAGAAGTAGAAGTTGAAGAAGTTGCCTTGTTACAGGCAAAAGAGGGAGAGGGTGAAGCAGAGCAGTTACAACTGGAAGATATGGCCTCAGGAGTATCTGTTTCTGTTCTAGACAAAATCTTTGAAAAATTGGAAGCTTTGGACAAGAAAGTAGATGTGCAATCAGCAAAGATTGACAAAAATACAGAATGTCTAAATAAATTAACCATACAAGTGGTACAGAATACACAAGCAATTGGACAGTTAACGGAGGCCTCAGCAGAAAATCGGAAATTGGCTGAGGACACCAGACAAAAATTAGAAAATTTAGAGCAAGAGGTAAGACCACTTACTAAACAAGTTGGGGAACATCAGATTTATCTTTCTATGATAGAACTGCGAAATCGTGAGAACAATCTGAGGATTAGATCATTACAAGAGGCAGAAGAAGGAAATTTAACTGAATTTTTGACCAAAGAATTCTCCAAGTTCTGGAATTTGGAAGAAAAGGACTTTAAAATTGTGTCAGCTTTCAGACTTGGAAGATTCATAAAGAAGGAGAGGCCCAGAGACTGTTTGATAACATTGAGATCAAAGGAGGAAAGGGATAAGATTTTGGGCCTACATTACGGAAAGTCACTGGAGGTTTTGGACAGAAGAATTGAAATATATAAAGATATTCCAAGACAACTGCTGGATCTTAGAGCCGCCTATTCTGAACTTGCTAAACTACTAAGGAGCAACGCAATTCCATTCAGGTGGGAATTTCCCCAAGGAATATCTTTTACTTTTAGAGGGAGAAAGGTCAAAGTTAGAACATTGGAAGAGAGAGACAAATTTTTGACTACATACGGAGAGGACCTTCAAAAAGGAATTGAATTACCTTCTGGGCCTGGGGCAACGCCAGCATTAACACCAGCACCTGGGGAACCTGAAGATTCAGAGAAGATACCACCCCTGGAGAAATAACCAGATTGATCCAGGATGTCTCTGCAATTGCTGAGCTGGAATATTAATGGTTGTAACATTCCGGAAAAAGGAAGAAAATATTTCACATATTAAAAAAAGAACAATTGGACATTATCTGTTTACAAGAAACACATGTGACGAGGCTCCATAGAAAAGTGTTAATAAATAAAAGATTGGGCCAGGAATTTGTATCGTCGGACAAAGTTAAGAAGAGAGGCGTGGTGATATATGCAAAAGAGAGCCTGTCACCTAAATTCTTATTTAAAGATGAACATGGAAGAATCTTGGCTATTGAGATACAACATCAAGGAGAGAAACTGTTGATATTAGGAATCTATGCACCTAATGAAGGGAAATCGGAATTTTACAAGAAGCTGCACGAGACAATGCTGGACTATCTGGATTACAACAACATCATAATGATGGGAGATATGAATGGGGTCGTATCAACTAACATGGACAAGTCACAAAGTCAAAATGTTACAAAAGACGGCAGACTACCTAAAACCTTTTTTGAAATGACTGACAATATGGATTTGATTGATATTTGGAGGACAAAGAACCCACTAGGAAGAGAGGGAACATTCTTTTCTGAAGCCCAACTGACCTGGACAAGAATCGACCAAATATGGATTTCTAGAGGCCTGGCACCTAAGGTCAGAAAAGTGGAAATCTGCCCAAAGACCTGTTCCGACCATAATGCAGTAAAGATGGATATGACACTACTACCAACTGGATCCTTTAGATGGAAGATGAATGACAATTTGTTTAGAGACCAGGAAATTACCAAGAAGGCCCAAAAAGTCTTGAAGGATTACTTTGAGATAAATATGAATACTACGGTGGAAAAAGAATCGTCTGGGACGCAAGTAAAGCTGTAATGAGGGGATTCTTGATACAACAGAATGCAGTAAAGAAAAGAACACAAAATGAGAAAAAGATAAGATTTTGGATAAAATAAAAGAATTAGAGAAGAAATTAAGAGCGAATCCGAAGTCACAGCCAACTCTGAGAGAAATTAAACTTTATCAAACACAATACTCTAAATTGATAAATCAGGAAATTGAATGGAAGGTTAAATTAATGAAACAAAAACGTTTGAGTCGGCGAATAAATGTGGAAAACTGCTAGCTTGGCAGTTGAAGAGAAGACAAAGATTAAATACGGTTACAAACTTAGAGGTTGATGGAAAAATCATTCAGAATCCAGTGGATATTAGAAAGTGTTTCCAGAGATATTTCAAAAACTATACACCCAAGGGCCGCAAGACGAAGTTGAGATTAAACAATTTTTGCCAAAAATGGACTATCTAAATTGTCACAAGAAAATAGGACAATCCTGAACTCTAAAATAACACGACAGGAGATTGAACAAGCCATCCAGAACATGCAACTTGGCAAATCTCCAGGGCCAGATGGGCTGACCTCCAAGTACTATAAGACATTAAAAGACTATTTGATACAACCTTTGATGGAGGTCAGCAATGAAATTATGGAGGGGAAGAGGGCACCGGAGTCGTGGAAGGAAGCGTTTATCACATTAATACCAAAGTCGGAAGCTGAAAAGACACAACTTAAGAACTACCGTCCCATCTCCCTTTTAAATGTGGATTACAAAATATTTGCAGACATTTTGGCAAGTAGATTTAAAAAAGTTTTAAATGAAGTAATTCATAAGGACCAGGCCGGCTTTCTCCCAGGTAGACATCTGTTTGCAAATACAAGGAACATTATTGACATTTTGGAACTTTTGCAAACAGATATAAATACAAAAGCAGTTTTAATTTTTATAGATGCGGAGAAGGCCTTTGACAATATCTCCTGGAAATTTATGATGGGAAACTTAAAAGAGATGGGAGTGGGACGGGGTTTTGAGAATGGGATTGAGGCGATATATTCAGAACAGAAAGCTAAATTGATAGTTAATAATGTGGTTACAGAAGAGTTCAAAATTGAAAAAGGGACACGACAAGGTTGCCCTATCTCCCCTTTGTTATTCATTTCGGTTCTGGAAGTGCTATTGAACATAATTAGAGGGGATCGGTTGGTGGAAGGAATTCAGGTCGGTCAGAAACAATATAAATTAAAAGCCTTTGCAGATGACCTGGTTTTGACCCTGCAGAAGCCAGAGCCCAGTACGAAAAGAGTATTACAACTGATTAATGACTTTGGTCGGGTGGCTGGATTTAAATTAAATAAACAGAAAACCAAGGTTTTGGGGAAAAATTTGACAGATACAGAGTCAGAACGGTTTCAGAATGAGACGGAACTTAATGTGGTTAAAAAGTAAAATACCTAGGGGTAAATATAACAGCAAAAATCTAAGTCTATTTAAGGACAACTATGAAAAATGCTGGACAGAAATTAAGAGAGACTTAGATAGTTGGTCAAAATTGAAACTTTCTTTGTTAGGCCGAATTGCTGCTATTAAGATGAATGTATTGCCAAGGATGTTGTTTTTATTTCAAACACTTCAGGTTTTGGACAAAACGGAGTGCTTTCAGAAGTGGCAGAGAGACATTTCTAAGTTTGTCTGGCAGGGCAAAAAGCCCAGAATTAAGTTTAAGATATTAACTGATGCAAAACAAAGAGGGGGCTTTGCCCTGCCAGACTTAAAGTTGTATTATGAAGCCGCAGCGTTCTGCTGGCTAAAAGATTGGCTACTCCTTGAAGACACTGATGTGTTGGACCTGGAAGGGTTTAATAATGTTTTTGGATGGCATGCATATTTATGGTATGACAAGGTTAAAGCAAATAAGGCCTTTAAGAACCATATTGTCAGAAAATCACTGTTTAATGTCTGGACAAAATATAAAGACTTGCTGGAAAATAAAACACCCAGGTGGCTTTCACCACTAGAAGCTAAGGCCCGAAAAAGACCCAATATGGAGGCTAAATGGCCAAAATACTGGGAAATACTAGAAAAGGATGGAGACAATTGGAAATTGCAGAGTTTGGAGAAAATGAAAGACAAAGTGCGAGATTGGTTACATTACGCTCAGATTAAAGAAGTTTTTAAAAATGATAAGAAATTAGGGTTCCAGGTGGAGAAATCGAAACTAGAAACAGAATTGTTAGAACCAAAGATTAAGGTACTATCAAGGATGTATAACTTGCTGTTAGAATGGAATACACAAGATGAAACGGTTAAATCGGCTATGATAAGGTGGGCACAGGACATTGGGTATAATATTATGTTTGAGGACTGGGAAAGGTTGTGGAGTAATGGATTGAAATTTACCGCATGTAACGCTTTGAAAGAGAATGTAATGAAAATGATTTATAGATGGTATATGACCCCAGTCAAACTTGCAAAAATTTACCACCTGTCTGACAATAAGTGTTGGAAATGCAAAGAGTGTGAGGGAACGTTTTTCCACCTCTGGTGGACTTGCCCTAAAGTGAAGGCGTTCTGGGAAATGATTTATAATGAATTGAAAAAGGTATTTAAATATACCTTCACTAAGAAACCAGAGGCCTTCCTTTTGGGTATTGTCGGCCAAGGGGTGGCAAAGAGGGACCAGACATTTTTTATGTATGCAACAACAGCAGCAAGGATACTTCTCGCAAAATACTGGAAAACTCAAGATCTACCCACACTGGAAGAATGGCAGATGCAACTGATAGACTACATGGAACTGGCTGAAATGACCGGCAGAATTCGTGACCTGGGAGAAGAGAGGATAGAGGAGGATTGGAAGAAATTTAAGAATTATCTACAAAAACATTGTAATTTGAGTGAATGCTAAATAAGATGCTAGACTAAAACAACTGAGCACCACTAAATTTAGAATTTTTTCAAGAAAACAAGTAAGATTGTGAAAATTTAACTCCTTTCGAGAATTACAAGATTATGAAATATAGAAGGGATATAAGAATTTAAATAAGATGATAAATTGCTGATAAAATGTTATAACGATGAAAGTGGGAGCGGGAGATGTGAGGAAGTCCAAAGAAAATGTGAAACTATGTTAAGACAAATGTTATATTGTTTATCATGTTTATTTTTATTGTAAAACCCAATAAATTGCTTTAAAAAAAAAAAAATAATTTAACTATTTATACCACGCCCATCTGACTGGGTTGCCCCACTCTGGGAGGCTTCCAATATTTTAAATATTTAATAACATTAAATAGCTTCCCTATACTGGACTGCCTTTTGATGGCTTGAGGGTCAGATAACTCCATAACCTGCAACATTTCTCCAATGAAATGAGGGACATCTTAAGGAAAAGTGGGACATTCCAGGATCAAATTAGAAACTATTACTTATTTTTATTTCATTAATGTATGCTACTTCATACATCAATGACAATCTCCAAGTGGTTTACATGTCCCAGCACAAAGGTTTGGAGAAATGGAATTTTCCTAGCTGAGTAGCTGCAAATGGGAAGCTGAAGAAATCACAAACTGGTGGCTCCTTTTGGACAGCCTGATGGACAAGTAACCAACAAAATGGCAGCAGATACTATAACCATTTGGCCAATACTTTATGAAGCCATCATAAGCTAGTGGCAACACCACATTTTGTGGCAGTGAAATCACTAACAAAAAATCTGTGTAATAAAGACTTGATGGTGTACCTCATTACAACAGCTAGAATGACCATTGCACAGGTTGTTTTTTGGGGGGAGGGAATTAAACAGGGCCAATCTTACCACTTGATGCGCTACAAGAAGATTCTTCCTATTTCCACTGGGAAAATGTTGGAGGGTATGTACAGTGTGATAGATTGCCTTGCTGGAAAAACTAACTAATAAGTTGAGAGTCCTTAGGAGACAGGGTGGGGGGAGACTGTAATTTAATACCTGTTTGGTCCGACTTTATTTCATTTGTAAGCAAGGAAGAACATAGTCAAGGGCCACCCCTGGCCTATGAACAAATATGGCAGATACTGTGACTTTAAGGCTTTTGAATAGCTGCTTTCCCTTGGTCTAATGGGACTGATGTTTTGTAACCTTGTCTTATTTAACCATTATGCCTATATTAGGTAGGAGAACTGCCTACCTAGACAGTTATCTTTCCACAAGGGCCAACATTGATGCCGAAATCCAGCATCGCCTGAGCTCTGTGACTGTGGCTTTCTCCCAATTGAAGTGCAGAATTTTTGAGGACCGGGACATTAGCAGGGAAACCAAAATGACAAAACTATTGTACTACCAACCTTACTATATGCATGTGAAACATGGACCGCTTATAAATACCATCTCTAACTCCTCAAAAGATTCCATCAACGGTGTCTCCAAAAAATTTTACACATCACTTGGGAAGACAGGCAAACTAATATCAGTGTACTGGAAGAAGCAAAGATCACCACTGTTGAAGCAATGATTCTTCAACATCAACTTCGTTGGACTGGTCATGTTGTGCGGATGCCTGATGACCGTCTTCCAAAGCAAATACTCTATTCCGAACTTAAAAATGGAGAGTGTAATGCTGGTGGGCAACAACAAAAAAAATTAAAGACTGTCTCAAGGCAAATCTTTAAAAATGTAGCATAAACACTGACAACTGGGAAACACTGGCCTGCAAGCGCTCCAGTTGGAGAACAGCCTTTACCAAAGGGGTCATGAGCTTTGAAGACACTTGAACTCAGGTCGCAAGGGAGAAATGTGCTAGGAGGAAGGCACGCTTGGCAAATCCACACCATGATCGACTCCCACCCGGAAACCAATGTCCCCAGTGTGGATCCAGAATTGGCATCCACAGTCAATTACGGACTCATTGTTAAAACCATGTTTATGGAAGACAATCTTACTCGGCTTAAGAGTGATCACCAAAGAAGAAGAAGAAGCCTATATTATAAATAGTTCTAGTCACTGCCTTCCATGCATGACTGTGGTTTATTTATTTCAGTTTTTATTTTAAGTCTGTGTTTGTTCAACAGTGATCTATAATTACATGTGGACTGTGTACACTGTCACCAGAGCCTGTTTGATAACATTGTATTTTACAGAATCTCATATAATCTTCCCCCCTCAAAAAAAATATATTTAAAAAGAAATAATAAAAGGTGAAAATTTATAGTTTAGTCTGTCCTGAACTTACTGTCAGCCAAGAACATGGCAATATAAGACCTTGCCTGTATCTATTGAACCTGGGTGTTTTAAAGCCAGAATCTAGCATCTTGCCATTGTTTTCATCTTCAGTGAGCCCCAAATGACTGCAGATCTAACGCACTACTGCATAGGCCTTTCTTAAAAGCCAGCAGAACATTTTAATAATAATTTCGTTTCCCTCCTCTTGGGTGGGAAGGCAGTCTGCATAGCTGCACTTGAAAGTCTTTCAAAACATCTGACACATCTCTAATAAAGAGAAGAACAGGTTAACTGAACTGGAAGCAGTTTATCATTTCTTTGACTAGAGAATACAGTCATTAACATGTAAATTAGAGGTTTCCTTTTCTCAGCAGCTTAAAAAGAATATTAGTCTCACTTGCACTGGGGAGACACAACAAAGCTGAACATTTTACAAAACATTATTATTTTTTTGCTAGCACACACTCTTTGTAACACAAAAGTGTGCATGGCGCAGATGGTGAAAACTTCACTATTAAAGGCAGCCGAAAGAAGCACATCCCCCCACAAATGCTAGATGTCAACGTTTGTTATTACACTACTACCCATCTATGAGCATTCATTCATTTGTATGTATTCTTAAACCTATGGACAAATCTAAATATGTTTATGCAGCCAGGAAAAAAAATCTACAAATCAGAGCTGGACTTTCAACAATCCTTTAAATTAAAATAATTCATTACATAAAAGGTAAAGGTAAAGGACCCTTGACAGTTAAGTCCAGTGGCAGACGTCTCTGGGGTTGTGGTGCTCATCTCACTTTACAGGACGAGGGAGCCGGCGTTTGTCTGCAGACAGTATTTCTGGGTCATGTGGCCAGCATGACTCAGCTGCTTCTAGCAAAACCAGAGCAGCGCATGGAAACGCCGTTTACCTTCCTGCCGGAGTGGTACCTATTTATCTACTTGCACTGGCATGCTTTCGAACTGCTAGGTTGGCAGGAGCTGGGACCGAGCAACAGGAGCTCACCCCGACGTGGGGATTTGAACCGCTGACCTTCTGATCAGTGAGCCCAAGAGGCTCAGTGGTGTAGACCAGGCTTCCTCAACCTTGGGCCTCCAGATGTTTTGAGACTACAGTTCCCATCATTCCTGGCCACTGGTCCTGCTAGCTAGGGATCATGGGAGTTGTAGGCCAAAAACATCTGGAGGCCCAAGGTTGAGGACCACTGGTTTAGACCACAGCACCACCCGCATCCCTAATTCATTAGATACTGAAGCCAAATGAAGACACTTCTGATGTCATTTCATGTCTGTGCATCCCACATGGATATCTGGGTCCAAAGGGTTCCATTTTCTGAATGGGAGCATGAGACTCTTAATCTCAGGGATGTGGGTTTGAGTCCCTCATGGTCCCTTCTAACTCTACAGTTCTATGATTCAAGCATTCAATGACTGGAAGTAGCTGCATAAGGAGATATTAAACTGCAAATCTCCTACCTTGCCGTCTGGCAATCTTGAAAGGAGTCTCATGTTACTAATGTTTGATGTTTCATTGTGTTTTCCATATTTTGTTGGCATCCATCCAGAGTGGCTGGGGCAAGCCAGTCAGATGGGCGGCATACAGGGCCGTCTTTAGCATATGCGCCCCCGGGATGCAAAGATCCTCCCAGCACCCCCAAATTAAACATTATTGCCCGGCAGTTGCCCGGCTCGATCTCCTCCCGGGGGTGTCACAAGACAAGAGAAAGTGACAGGAGGACACCGAAGGGTGCGCGCACGCACAGGGTAGAGATCAGGAGGGGGTCCTCTCTCACCTGCCTCCCCCAGCAGGTTCTCCCCATGGGACGGCCTTGGCTGCTGCTCCTGCATGGGCGGCTGGCAGTGCTCCTCCACGCCACAGGCAGCCACCCCCTCAGCCACAAAAATGACTCACCCGCCAGAGCGCCGCTTGCAATCACGTGCACCGCCATTGCCGCCTATCGTCTGCCCGATCAGCAGAAGCAGCCGCCTGCCACTCACAATTGACACAGTGGCAGCCAAAACACAGTGGACATTGCCGCAGTCACCAATCGTCCGCCAGATCTCTGCCGACACCATCCTGTTCGCGGTAACACCCATCCCAACGAGGCGCATCCCATGTATAAAACACCCCCCCCCCCCATTTTAGACTTATTTTTTGGGTAAAATAGGTCATCTAAATAATACACGGAAAAATATGGTATTTATTATTTCATACTAGGTAGATAGTTAAGAGCTTTTTTTAATATATAATAATATTTATTATTTTTCCAAAAACTTAGACAATAAAAAGAAAAACAATACAATACAACACAACAAATCAACAAAAACAAAACAAAAACAATAAAATAAATCAAACAATTTCGTTATCCCATCTTTCATTCACTTATTTCCACGACCTCCTCACACCTCCCTTTTTGTATTCCACTTCTGTTAATTATTTCAGCAATTCCTTTCCATCTTCCTCTGTTTTCTATCCTATAATTATCTTAACTCATTCTAACCTTATTTTTCCCTTAATGCTCTATTAACCTATCTGTACTTAATTCCTTATAACATTTCTACTAAAGCCATATAACTTCATTCCAACATTTTTCTAACATTCATTAATTTTACAATATTTCTGTAAATAGTCTTTAAACTTTTTCCAATCTTCTTCCATCGACTCTTCTCCCTGGTCTCGGATTCTGCCAGTCATTTCTGCCAATTCCATGTAGTCCATCAACTTCATCTGCCATTCTTCCTGGGTGGGCAAATCTTGTGTCTTCCAATACTTCGCGATAAGTATTCTTGCTGCTGTTGTTGCATACGATAGTTAAGAGCTTAGGCAGCTTCAGCGCGGGTGCCTGGCGCCCCCCAGGAATTTGGCGCCCGGGTGCCCTGCACCCCTTGCCCCCCTGGGTAAAGATGGCCCTGGTGGCATATAAATAATAAAATTATCATCATCACCATTCTTTGGAAGTATCTTTGCATGCATGCACCCTCTGAACTCCATAT